CAAATCTGGTGGAGTTTTGGTTTTTATTATTATATACGTACCTTATAGAACCAATAATACAATAACACCAACGACGCTATATTATAGTTTAATAGTTATATAAATTGATATAGTTATAAATTATTATGATAGTTGCAACAAATAATTATGATTTTGGAACCGAAGATTTTTTTGTCATCATAAAATGTAGGTAGGTATTTGAAAATAACAAATTAAGTATTCAACTTAATAAGGCAGTTAACATAATGAGTAACACAGCCAGTGTAAAATATTTAAAAAAAATATATATATATATATATATATGATTAATTAAGCAGTACAACGTATACATGTAACGTATACAATATTCATGATATAAAAAAATAATAATAATATATTTATAAAATTAGAGTAAAAAGTTTTAATTGATGGGAATCATCATAACCATAATAAAAACTGGAAAACAACTTAAGAATAGAAATTGCACCATAACATTTTTAAAATTGAATTTGTAAAAACCTAATTCAAACATTGTATTAATAAAACTGTTATACCTACAGGCTACAATAAGCTAAAAAGAATCCATTTCCTACATGATCGCAACTCTTCTATAATTATCATATTATACTTCAATAATGTAATAGTATTATTAAAATTGTTTTTAAGATTCTAGTTATATGATAGATGTGAAATTATTTTTTTAAATAAAAGCTTAGTATAAAGTTATAAGCAGCAAACTCGGTAATTTTCGCACATTATTATTGTTTAAGTGTTAAAATCGGCGTTACAAAATCTATATGAAACAAAGATACCAAAAAAACTACTAAGATTAATAAACCCAAGTCTGAGGAACTTATTAAAGGCGACGATTAGGTGGATTTTGGTAGTGTACCTATTTGATTTACGGTATAATACTATAAAAATGGGATTTTATAAACGCTTTGGATTAGAAGTTTCAAACCRCCGCGTAGTTGCCGCCTATATGTCTGGCCTGAACGAAAAGCGAGGGCGATCGTCGGACTGCATATTATCATATTATTATTATGTGCACATGGACATGGACAATAATATTATATAGTAGGTACCCAACCTACTTATATATTATACCTACCTTAACCGTACGCAATACTTCTCGATGGGCGACACAAGTCGGGTATACGTATGATATATATATATATATACAATACCAAAATATTATAATGTTCGGACGACCGAACAAACATATAGTTGCGTGCGTGAGCGGTGGTCATTGTTCGCGTCAAACGCGTACGTGCTTTTTCCGGTATTCGGCTGGCGGCGCGTAAGGGCCTGTCCGCGTCTATACACTAGCACAGTCGTACTCCTCCGACAAACCGATGGTTTTACACGCATAGGTATACGTTATATAATAATATATACCTATCGTATACGTTTATTTTGTACATATATAGGTATAGCATAATAGATGTATTTATYTATATAATATACACATGTGATATGTGTGCATATGACGCAGGAGCTCGTGGACCTACGGCGCTGTCAGCATCCTGACAACAGTCGGTCGGTGAGATCGTCTTTTTTCCTCTTCTTATTATTATTATTATTCATTGTCGTCGTCTTTTTTCTTTTCCAGAGCCAAGGTCCACACCACGAACACCCACGCACCCGTCGTAGGTACTGGTACAGAGAAACTACGTTATAATGTGACTAGTGTGTATGTGCACGTGAGTGTTTGTGTTTATGTTATTTTTTATTATGTTTAGTTCACATGATGAACCGTACACACACAATATAATTATATCGGTTTTTTACGACCACCGGAACTGTTAGGTTAGGTTACCTGGTTTATGGTCACTATAGATGTATTACCTGCACATTATTATTGCAATTGTGGCATATTATAAATATAGAGCAAGAGCCAAGTATAGGCTCGCCGACAAATAGACCGGCGTTATATATATTAAGTAGATATATAATATACGTTTCATGTGTGCTCCAACACAGGGTGTGATTATATATATATAACCATAATCATATGTATAGGCGCTATTATCGCCATTGTATATTCTGTGGTTTGTTTTTTTCCGTACATATCAAATCCAGATCATTCCTCGATCACAATAACTTCAGTTGGCCAAGAGTTGAATATTATATTTTTTTTGCTCTGACGTCWTTTGTATTTTTCAGATTTTTTCAACAGTTCTTGGTGATTTAAAACCGAATAAAGTCGTCGATTGCGAATAGGTTTTGTTTTTTTTAAATACGTACACTTATATGTATAAGACGATGTTAACGTTACGATAGGAATAGAATCGGATACATGAGAAGGTCAGCAGCTTATGTTCAGCTAATTTTTCTGTCTCACAAAAACGCAGACAACAATAATTAATACCATAATAATTCCAACTTAAAAGATTATGGCCTTAGAACATAATCTGCTCAATAAAGCAATTAAAATGTCTAATATAGTTTAGAAAACATTACAGAAGTGCCTTAAGGATTTTCTTGTTCCATTTTYACTCTAATTATCGCCATTAAATGGATATTTTTTTTTGAACAATTTAAATATTATGTTTTGAAGTACCGAATTTTCAATAATTCTATTCTATATAGACTCTATAACGATGATACGAAATGAAAATGGTTTCTGAGGTTCCGACAAACGCWGGATCAGATCAAATGGGTTCAAAAATCTCAGTATTTCTTTCATTCGTTCCTAGTAAATTGTACTTGATATTTATGAGTTGTCGTCTTATAGTCTGCTATAGAACACTAACATGTTATTGTAACATATATGTAGGTACGCGATATGATATGATTGTACTGTTGGGTCGGTCAGGGCCTAGACCTAGTGGCGTGGCATTTTCATTGTCACGCTATATTGTATATTATATTGTTATATTATTGTTGTAAAAAGGACAGATCGTCCGAATCTCTGCCGACGGTTTTTTTTGTACGGGACACGTACGAGCACGACGAATGACAATAAACCTCAGTTTATGTTTATTATTACTATTATTATTATTGGTAAATGTATTATCATCATTATTATTATTTGAAAAACACTCAGGTTTGAACGAAATGCGTCTTTTACATACGATCAATAATAATATTGTATTTTATTATACGTTACCGACAATGGCTATATATATTATATATATAACAACACTTTACCACTGCGACAGTAAAATAACAAGAGCGCATCGGTAGGTACCGGATTTCGAGAGAATAATCTTAAGACACAATGGGAGAAATTTAAAAATCGGATGTATACAACAAAAATATCGTGGTACGAAGGGATAAAACCCTTAGGTATAATGCGCACTAATCTTATGCTGACCRCCAACCATAATTATTATTGTTGTTGTTACCTATATCRCATGTACCATTAAGAAGGTAAGTTATCACATATACCTAACATGATTAAATAACATTGGATTCCGCGTTATTACGTCGTATATGTGCTAAACAAGACCGAACAATCGACGATACACATAATACATATACCAACGCTTATTTTCAATGATGTCATAATATATACTTACGARCAACACCAAGCCACTTGCCACCGATACGTCGCAAAATAAAATAATGATAATTTCAACGCGTGGTAATCTACAAATATACGGGTGATAGGTACATATTATATTTTATTTGTAGTTTGTACCATCGCAATCGTAGGCATGCATGTTAGGTTTATACAAATTATGAGTGTAGGAACATAATCGATATGATATTGCGGACGATAATATTTAATACGACTACAAAACTTACCCAGATGACAGGCTATTTGGCCACATAAGATGTCGATGACACCTGTAACAGAACAAAAATGAAAAAACTGTTATTATACATGTCTATAGGTACATATTAATTATTATATGAATCCTATATCAGAGACGATGATTCGGTGCCATTCAAAACATTTTTGCGGCTCTATTTATTAAACATTTAGCGATAATGGACGCGCAGAGATAGTTAAATTTCATCTGCTGCATCATGTGTGCGTTACGAACCTCTGGTTATAACAATATATTAGCAGTAGGCATTTTTACGAAATTTCCGTCGACGCAACGACAAAATTGAAAATACCGAATGTGCATCGTATTTTACACACCAGGCTCATGTAAATTCATCATAATTCATAAGAATATTTAGTTCAGAAATCAAAAGTCTATTCATACACCTATTAAAATTCTCCGTGTTTTTATCAAAAAAATTATATAACTGTTTCCAAAACGAAGACGAATCAACAAACCCACAGCGGAAATAACCGAGAGAGGATACACCATGTGCACCAAGTGCACGATACAAATCCAAAAAAYTAAAGACCCATTTTGGATTTGCCGAGACTCRCCGCGATACCACTACCACTAACGACCGCGACGATATACTTGCAGCGAACATTATGACAATGTGTTCGCTGCAGCAGTATAATACTAGGTATCGTGTATGTTGACACGTCGCTGTCGAGTATTAAAGTCGAGTACTTTTGAGCTGTAGCCTGTGTAGACACGCGGCGATTATGTAGGTATTACTAAACTACTATATACCTATTATTATAAATTTACAACTAAAGGTATGCACTACACATTACTATTAGACCAATACTACTACAACATTATACAACCGCCTTATGTATTATAATATCGTTGTATRTACTATATARTGTATAGTATAGGTACATATATATTTAGGTAATACAATAAACACATACGTCAATCGCTGTCTGTTGACGTCAATAAGAGCGATCGCATTCGAGTACCGTGCGATAATATAGTGCAATAATATATATTTTGCTAATACATGGGTACCTATAATATAATAATAATTAATACATAATAATATTATATTATAATATGCATAATATAGATACACCGAACAGACCGCCGTTGAGTGGACCACGACACCAGCAGCCATTATCGTTAAGCTGCGACTYGACGATAGCAATAACAACATGTCTACATGATATTATCAAAAATGAAACCCACGTTCTCGGCTACTTWATGTAATAAAATAATATATAAAATGTGTGCGTATTTATACATATATATATATATATGTATGTATGTGCTCCGGTCGATTGTTTGCTTAGTTCGAAACGTTTAGCGGGTATTGCCGCTGTCTAAATGTGTCGAATGTACATCATCGTCGCGATAATAGGTACGAGATGAAATAAAATTGTCGACGAGTGGGCGGGTAGGGAGAATGGCCTTACATGTATATTGCAGGGAACGTTATTATCACGAAAAAACACTACAAATTCACTGAGGCGACTCGGGTATTGTCCTGCGTATATACGAGTACCTGTCACTGGCGGACCTTCTCGGAACGCATATTTGGAAAAAAATAAAGAGATTTTTATTTGATTTTAACGCGTGCGTTTCATCTGTATTATGATGTACAATGAGATTCTGGTGTCTGGCTATTGGCGTGTCACGCGTTTTCGTTCGTGATGTTAAATCACAGACACCTGCGGCAACAACATCGACGATATAAATGAATATCAATAATGGTCTTGGAAACGATTTGGCAACGCATTTCGCGGTCTCGGGACGAAAAGGGTTCTTTTATACCTACCGTTTTTATTTTCTTATATTGTTATACGTTTCCGGTTTGCACATTTTTAGATTACGACGATTTTTACAATGGGTACGTATTGATAAATACCCACATAGTTAAGCTAAAAATCACTACAAGTACAAAGTAATTTATTTTAAAGTCGTATTTCGGAAGCTTCAAATTGATTTTCATTTTTTAATATTTGCTTTAATTATTACACCTATATMTTATAAAAMTTRTGAAGAAACAAAAAAAAAAAACGTTACGGATTAGATATAGGTATGGGCACCTATTGTAATGTAAATATTATATACCTATATTATAAATAATATGTTATACCTACATTTACATACATTTATATATATGCGATACTCGATTGGAAAATCGTAGGCCATTCGAGTGTTTTGTAAAATAGGTACATGTATGTGATATGTCAACAAAACAATCTGTACTAACAATGCTCGGTGTTTTCGATATTGATTCGAGTGTCAACGTGGTTTATCACCGTGATGCTCGAGTATTATACCTATATAACTTTCGAGAGGACAGCAAACATGGAAAATACGATTGTTATCAGACTCCGTTAACGCAATATAATATTTCATACGAAGTGGATCACAAATTCATAACGAACGCCTGATAACGGTGACTGCTGTGGATCGAAGAAATATAATTTAAAAATATTGTTGGCACTACATACCTACTGCAGATCACGAATAACTGAACTAGAATTATCCACTGACTTTAAAATTGCATAAAGTTATAACACACTGTACCGTCAATGCAATATTAAATTTATGATTATTTRACATATTTTTACTAYATTRTGTACCRATGTTATTATTTATTTGAGTTMCAGCAAATCCCGTAAAGGGACGATAATTTTTTATTTGATTTTTGACCGACGGAYGCCGGTTTATATATAATAGGTATATATATACGGGAGTCGAGAGCTACCAATAATAGTGATTATAGGACGTGTTTATTAATTAATATAATCATAAAATAATAAAGCACTTCGGTATGAACCATGTACCAGTTAGCTAAATATCTATGTCTTGCAATATATGATAGGCACGACTAGCTAGAGTTGTGTATACCTAAAATTAAAACATAGCCTGGTGCCCTTCCCCACTCGTTTGGGGAACATATAGAATATTTCCTGACCCGGAATTAAGGAGCATTGTTTCATGTACATTTTACTCCATCAATAAATGATGCGATCAGCGAACGAGAAGAACATAGCATAATAATGTACTACCGCGAAAGCAGTCATATTTAAATATTCTGTGGTTTTTCGGTAAACTATAAAAGAGAGGGGAGGAAACACAGCAAAGCTTTATACTTTCGTTCTTAAATTTGAAATAGTACCTATTACCAGCTGCAGCAGTAAACAATATTGTATATTATATATATATATATACGAGTATTTATACGATAACAATGAGCAGTCGGACGTGATGAATAATAATAAGAAAAACACGGGAGACCAACTTCATGGCTAACGGAGTGCGCTGATGCGAGGAACGCGATTATAATAATTTTTCCTGCTTAAATATAATATATATATATATATTCTTGCGCACATTGCAAGTAAAAAGTACTGCCCAAGGAATCTTTTTTTGTTTTTAAACAGGTTTTCGTTGTTTGAAACAATTTTTTTGTTTCAGAAAACGTAGAAATATGAATTTTAACAACCCCGCGTGGACTTCATGATAATAATTATGTACCTATCGCTTCGGCACTCTTGTGCCATCACTGCGGCCGCCATCACGATGCCGCCATAACGTCGACTGACTGCGCGAACCGGTGGCGGATGGGGAGTATGGTAGGGGGCCAACGCGAGAGGGGAAATTTTCCCTTCTATATAGGAGCTATTGTCGWTGTTATTGTTTCGTTTCGGTTTTTTCTTTTTYAAACAGGCCCCCTAGTTTTAGAAAAAAAAAATTAGCCWTCTAAGCAGCTGCTATTTACACGCCAACAATGGGTTCGCGCATTATATTATATTGTACATACATATAATATATGATGTGATGATCGGCAACGCGGGGGAAAACGCGCGTGTATAACTTCTCGTCGAACGCGCGCGCGTCATACATAATAATATAATATATTATTATTATTGWTATCACAGGCCTCGGCGAAACGGGCCGTCGGTAACGGTTTGGGTGCTCGCGTTGTATACAACAGTTCAATTTTATGTTCACCGCCAATGCAGGCAGTGATATTATATATAAGCGAACCAATATACCGACGACGGCTATGGGTATATAATATATAATGCTTACTATACACATGCGGAACCCGCGGGGTTTCGTTTCGATTTTCCACATCGTATATGGATATAAAATAATATAATATAATGGATATACAATTTCGTAACGAGCATAAAATATATAGTAACCAATAACCTATACTTGGGCACTTATAACTCCATACTTTATTAGGTACTTATATTATTATTATTATTATTATTATCATATAATAATTATATACACCGAAATCGGAAAAAGTATGAATATTATAAAGCACGCGTTTTCTATTCTAGCCGACCCAAAAAWATGACTAATGAACAATGCTATGTTAAAAATATTTTTGTACAAAATAAAATATAATATAGTCACATAATATATTATATATCATATTATTATGATGTTATAAGCTAGGTATTACTTTAATTGTTGGTTGTTAGGTAATTATTATACATAACATTATTATTATAACATATTATCATAATATGTTCTATAGGTATTTCGTGCTTAATAATGTCCGTGCCCGAAAATTGTAACGAGRAGGCGTAGGTAGGTATATTATAATTAATTACAAATTATAATACTTGGTAAAGTATAACATTTTTTACACACGAATCCCAAAGTGGAAGCGTGTAATTTTTTTTTTT